CCCTTCAAAGCCACGGCCACAGGTAAGTACCGGCCCTGAGGGCCCAACGAACGAACAAGTGCCCTGGCGGGCCACACACACACACACTCATACCATCCAGCACTCAGACAGGCATGGTCACACACGCAAGCCAACCAGCACTCAGACAGACATGCAGTCCAGCAAGCACACACGCACATAGACTTAGCAGGCGGGGAACTCAGTAGGGCATTCAGTCTATGAGCAAAACTCAGAAATCAGTTGTGTGTTTCAGTCCGTGTTTGGACGGGTTATCACACTACCCCCCCCTCAAGAGCGAGGTCCCTCCGAGCGAGTAACTCATTATGAGTCCTCGGTAAACGCATCATAGGCGAGCAAGGCAAAGAGATTCCTGGAATACTCTGTTGCAGAGAGCCTTGCTGAGATCTTTGGTGTGACATTAGCGGCGATCTGTCGCTCGTAAGCTTTAACAACGCGTGGTGCGCTGCGTAGCAGTTCTTGTTTAGAGATGTAGTAGAGATCATCTAATGGGTGATACATGAAATGAACCTGGTACTGTCTGTTTCTCCCTTTACCTACATGCTGTTTGATTCTATCTATCTCATGCTCGCCCTTGATTGCGCGCGGGATCATATCTTCGCGGTAATCGAATGTCTCGGCGTCACGATGGAGATTCAATTTAGATGCATGAAATACGGGATACGTGCGTAGGTGAGCTGGCACGTCTACAGCGTACGAAGGGCCAAAGTGATCTTCCCCAATTACATCCAAAACTTCCCAAGGCCCGTAGTAGAGTGGGAGGAGTTTGCGTGAGACTCCCTCCTCCTCTGAGAATTCAGACATCTTTACCCAGACATAACTTCCTACCTGAATCTCCGATGGTTTGCGCTTCTTGTTCGCATGGTGAATCATGGCATGTTGTCGCTTGGTCATGGCTGCAACAACAACTTTGAGCAAGCGATCATACCTAGCCCTGAAGCCGGGCCTACGCGGTGTTAACACCAGCTGGCTGTTCAGGGAATAAGTAGGAGAGCGGATTATGGATCTGCCACCCGTAATGCAGCCTGTTAGGTGTCGTGGCGGTGGCAGAATGGACGGAGTTGTTGTACAACCCCTTGACAAAATACAGCTCCTCATCCCATGTTTCCTGATCAGGAATGATCAACGAACGGAGTAGTTGGAATACAGTCTGGTTGATCTCCTCAGCCAAACCGTTGGCTTCGGGGTGTCGGCCAGATGTCATGCACGGTTTGATCCCTAGGTGGGACGTGAACTCCTTCCATTCAGCGCTAATGAATCGCGGGTCCCGATCGCTCACAAGAGTCTTCGGGGTTCCGAATTGCAGCAGGTATTTCTGCTAGAATTCGCGAATCACTAGATCTGTTGGGGCGTGAGGCGGTAGAGGGATTAGATTAAGAAACTTTGAAAATCGGTCAACAATCACCATGACTTGTGAAAACCCATTCTTGCTCACCTTACCCATGTCAGTGAAATCGATGGAGACAGACTCCCCGAGACTATCAGGAATGGGTAGGGGTGTGAGTAGCCCCATGGGCTTTTGTCTGCATGGTTTGATTCGTTGACAGACTTGACATTCGACTATAAATTTCTCAGCAGTCCCTTTCATGCCAGACCAATCAAACTGTCTCAGGAGGTTAGCGTACGTTTTTGCCATGCTGAAGTGCCCGCTCCGGCCATGAGCCAAGTCCAGAAAGTGCGTGCGGAGAGGCTCGTGGTTGGGCACACACAAACGGTCATGGTTCCCATATCGACGAAAAATCAGTCCTCCATACTCGTGGAAATGAGGCTGACTACTAGGATCAGCCCGCAGCTGCTCAAGGATGGCACTGAGTTCCGGATCCTTGGCTGTCTGCTCTACGAGGTCCTCCTTCAATTTCTTTCGGAAGTCGTAGGATTTCACAAGGCAAGTCATGTACTCAGGGTGGCGAGACAAAGCCTCAGCGACTCGATTGTAACAACCCTTTTTCACAAGGCAAGTCATGTACTCAGGGTGGCGAGACAAAGCCTCAGCGACTCGATTGTAACAACCCTTTTTATGTCTCAATTCAAAATCGAAGATGTCAATCTCATGAAACCAGCGAAGTAAGGTAGGGGACAAAGTAGTCTGCATTTTGATCCACTTCAAGGTCTCATGATCTGAGAACACTTTGAAGTGGCGTCCCAAAAGGTAATGTTTCCAGTGATCCAACGCCATGCTCAAAGCTTAAAGCTCGCGCATGTAGGTGGAAGTGGCTACCTTTATGCTGGGCATGCGTTTGCTGTAGTACTCGAGTGGCCGCATGCCATCGCCGTCATCTTGTTGCAGCTCCGCACCGATCCCATACTGACTTGCATCCGTAGTAACTACGAAGGTCAATTTGGGGTCTGCAATGCGGAGTACCGGATAACTTACCAAGGCTTCCTTGAGAGTTCGAAACGCTTCCGTACACGCGGCATCCCAGGAATAAGACACATTCTTGCTGGTAAGTCGCGACAGTGGATGAGCAATTATAGAAAAACAGGGTACAAACTTCCGATAGTACGACGCGAGACCAAGAAAAGAACGCAATTCACGAATGTTCACAGGCTCAAGCCAATCGCGTATGACCTCAATGTTGGTTGCCTCAGGCTCTAGGCCTGCAACAGACAATCGGTGCCCAAGATAGATGACGCTGTCCCTCCCAAACTCGGATTTCTCCAAGTTGAGATGGAGCTGCGTCTTCTTGAGGATGGCAAGTACCTCCTCAAGATGCTTGAGGTGTTTCTCCATGGACTTGCTGAAAATCAGGATATCGTCCAGGTACACTACCACGAACCGGCCAATTTGTTCGCGGAGGACCTTGTCCATTAGGCTTTGGAACGTGGCTGGTGCGTTCGTAAGACCGAAGGGCATTACGGTAAACTCATAAAGCCCATCGCGCGACTTGAACGCAGTCTTGTGCTGGTCCGCAGGATTGACTTCAATTTGGTGGTAGCCAGATTTGAGATCGATCTTGGAGAAGACCTTGCACCCGCCTGCAGCATCAAGCAAGTCATCTATACGAGGCAATGGGTAAGCATTCTTTCTTGTGATGCGGTTTAGACCACGATAGTCAATACGCATGCGAACTTTGCCTCCTTTCTTTGGCTCAAACAACACAGGAGCACCAAATTCAGATTCACTTGGTTTGATCCACCCTTTGTCAATCATCTCATCGATCTGCCGCCGGAGTTCCTCCAACTCGCCGGGTCCCATACGATACACGCAGCCCTTTGGAGGAACAACACCGTCGACCAACTCGATGGTGTGTCAAACCGGTCGCGTGGGGACTCCACGTGGTTCGGCCAAGACTTCTGGAAACCGATCGAGGAGGGCTTGGATGGCTGATGGGACAGGTGGGGGTGGGGAATCAGCAAAGGGATCACCAAAGTCCGGTCGCAAGTCGCGTATAGAGACGACCGAATTTGAAGTTGGATCATTTGGACTATCAGAGGGTAGAGAGGTAGAGGTGCTAGTAGTAGAAGTGCTAGAAGTAGGATCATTACTCAAGGTAGGGGTGGTACTAGCCGCAAAAGTAGAAGGCACATGAGGAGGACGGACAAAGGCAACGTACAATTGTTCTTCCTCTTTGCGCTCATGCCATTTCTTGCAGAATTTCAATGCATTTAGAAAAGTCACTGGGGACTCGTGCTTCTCATCCAAGAGGACAGGAAACTCGTTCCCCTGAGCATCTTTGACCATGAAGAGTGATTCCTTCCACTTGGCCCATTCGCATTGGGACTGCAGCCAGCCCAAGCCAAGGACAACGTCGAAGGGGCACTTATCAAGGACAAAGAAGTTCATTGCGTGGGTGACAGTCTTACCTCTGTCAAAGGTAGTGCGCACACCTTTGACTGCATGTGTAGAAGAGACAACTTCTTTGTTGCCAACTTGGGTCCGGCAAGGGTTCTGCAGGGCCACTTGCTTCATCCCCAAGCCCACCTTGCGTATCCCATGTGGTGACATGAAGTTAGCTATAGCACCACAATCAACTAACACACGGAGGTAGAGGTGGTTTATGAGAAGTTTGAAGAAGATTAACTTCACTGTCCCTTGGGCACGCTGCTGTTTCATTTCAGCCCAACGCTCCAAGTGGTAGTGGAAGTCAATCATCACAGACTCCTTCCAAGGCTCGTCATACAACACCTTACTCACCTCAACCTTGTCTTCAGCAGATGGTTGGGCTTCAAGGGAGGGTTGCTGATTTTCATCAGATCCTGACTCCCCTGTTGTAGAGTTTGCTGAATCTGACTCTACGCCCGGTTCTGGTTTCCCTGCAACCTATAACAGTCTTGGACCTTGTGATTTGGCTTTTGGCAATGTAGGCAAACCCCCTTCTTGAGTCTGCCCCGCCAGTCATTCTCAGTGATCCGGAGGTCAACCCACGGTTTGGTAGATGCATCCTCCGGTTTAGGCGGGATCTTAACTCCTTTGGGGAGTTGGACATAACTCTTTCCGGCACTCCGATTCGGTCCCTTAGTGTTGGCAGTCTTTTTAAAGGCAGAAAATTTTTCTTCTTCGTTATTTGCGTCAGACTCATGGGCTGAGGAACAAGCTGTATTGGAGTCCTGTTCTTGGTCGTCACCAAGAGTGGGGTCAACCGCATCGGCTTCTCCTTCATCCTCCAGCAGGTCATGATGCACAACAAAACGGTTGCTGCCCTTGAACCGTCTGCCGCCCATGGGCTTTTTGCTGCCTGCCGTGCTAATGAGGTCCATGGCCTCCAGACCGACTACATCCTTCATTAAGGCAAGCCAGTCAGTATAAGCAATGTAGTCCCTGCCCAGGCGACTGGTGAAGTTAGTTGGAACCGCGCCCTTGACCACATCTAAGCAAGATCGAGTGGACAACTCCAAACCAGGAGTGGCAAACAACTTGCTTAGATAGATCTGTAGGCTTTTCATGGAGCCATTCCACTTGTTGTGCTTTACTTTATCCAGTTGAATCCTTGCTTTAGCAGCAACATGTGGATCTTGGTATTATGAGATAAGGAGTTCTTCCAGGGAGGCAACCGGGGTGGACCTTAGCCATTTGGCTAGTGCAGACTTTTGAAACCCAGCCCGCGTTGCTTGGACTTCTAGGAAGCCCCGTACGACTGGCTCGACATTCATACCCATGATAACTGCCTGGGTCTCAGCTTGAGTCCCCAGGATCTCAAAGTAGGCCCTCATGGAGCCGATCCAGGACTCGATGTCTTCCTTGCCATCGTACTTGGACGGTATTTGAACCGCCTTCCGGTCCACATAGGGACTGGCGTGGCTGGGACCAGCAGCAGCTGGTTCCGGTCTTGGGGCTGCAGCAATTGCAGAAGTTCCAGCCTCATTGCTTGTTACAACAACAGTGGAATCTGCACCTGCTGCAGGTCGTGAAGGAGTTGCCATCACACTCAAAGATGAGGTAGAAGAAGACACAGTAAGAGGGGTAGAGGTAGTTTCGATTGCAGCTTCAGTTCCAGGAGGTAGAGGAAGAGGGTTGGCCACTTGGGCTTGTCGCAGATCCGCCACCTCCTTCGTTAGTTCATGGTACTTGAGGGTCATCTCAGTCAGATCATCCTGAATTGTCTGCAGTTTTGCAAAGACTTCAACGATCTGAGTGGTATGGTCCTCGAGATTCTTGATTTGAACAAAGGCCGTGAGGATGGGCTGCAGCTGTTCCCCGCACTGCTCTTCAGTCAGTGAGGGAACAGTCTCTAGGAGGGCTACTTGCCTTCTCAGCAAGGCCTCCTTCCTCTCCTTCTCTGACTCCTGTTCCCGTTTTATAGCACCATCCAAGAGAGCTTGCAGATGTGGTTTCCCGGCATCACCGGCTGCATCTAACAAGGCCCGCCATTGCGTCGAATTTAGCTGGGCCATCTTTGGACTGTCAGTGTGGGCAGGTGGATCAGAGAGTCGCCAGACAGCAAAAGAATCAATCAGACTCTCAAGAGGTTCACTCCCCCCCGCTTAGACGAACACTCCTTTTCCCAGTCCTTGCCCACCTCAGACTATCACTTTCCTTCTCTCCCTGTTCTCTCTCCCTCCTCTCTCTTTCTTCTTTCTGATTGCGAGTCTCCACGGGCATCGGAAATGAACTCAAAAAAACAGATAAAGCTCAGAGAAAAGAAGGTAGAACTCCTAGCCGGAGCGGCATTTCATTTGGAAGCAGAGAACATCAGAAGAAACAATCAACTCAAAGAGAGGTCTGATCCAGCGACCTAGTCTGATCAGGCTGCATAAGAGGTCCTCTCGAGTCCAGCCTGACCAGCTCCGTGTCCATACGACAAATCAGACAACGAGTGACCAAATGCAACAATGGAGAATTGAGTGGTGTACATGGTGTTAGTCAAGCCACGGACGGTGCAATCAGAATGCAAGCGAAACGTCAAAGCCAAGATCCCCTCGGCAGTGGGTGCCAAGGAGAATGAACTCGTATCCCAGCAAAGAAGACAAGAGGTCAATGTCTAACTGATTTGGGTCCAGAGGCTCTTCTTGTCTGGGCCCGGTTTCGCTGGGTCCCAAGGGTCCCACGTAGGTCTCAACCAGTTCCCAACAAAGAAGAGTCCCACCTGAAGTTAGTTCAATCTCAACTGCACTGAAAAACGAAATTTCAACTCCTGGCAGAACCTACAGACTACAACCGTTCAGTGATGAAAAGACAAAGCACTGTAGAAAGACTCGGCATGTATAACAAGATACTTCATTTTCCATCCATCAGGTGAGTAGGTAGATCACATGCATCCAGTCACACAATCAAGACCACAGAGGAGTAGGAAAAGAAACCCAGAGTACCCCAGCAGGACAATCAATACCATACACGCATACATGGGCATCCCTTAGGTGCACGACACTTACCTGAGTGGCCTTGAGCTTCAAGATGAAGAGAACTCACCCCCCTTCTCATATGGTCCTCCTGACCCATCTAACGCTACCCCTACACTAGTGTCCTATCTCCTAGGAGGGTCTGACTCCAACACCCAAGTGCAACGCCGGATCCCCCGTCGATGCTGAAGAACAAAGTAGCAACTTGCAGTCCGTTGATGCAGACTGGCCGCTGACCCTCAAGCTCGCCTACTTGAGGGCAGCCCTTAAGTTGCCAAGTGTCTCCCTTGAATCAGATTCCAGGAGCGAGTGCCTCTCACTGTCGCCTCTCTCAAATCGCCGCATGAAGTCTCCTCGAAATGTCTCGCCACCCCAATCTCACTCCCAAGCAACCTGGTTAGGGTCTATGTTGACCCCACATTGCCTAACCAGGTGGGGGCAGCTTCCCTTAGCCACGCTGCCCCACTTCCCTCAACCATCCAACCCTAACCCTAAGTGTTGCCCTCAACCACTTAGGTTAGGGTTAGGGTAGCAAAGTCAACTCTCACCAGCAAGTAGAATCCGCTCTGATACCAATGTTATGACCCTGGCCAATTTCGAGATACACATCCACTTGAAAGTACAATGCCATCCAATTGCAGAAAGAAATGAATGAACTTGAGAGGTGAGAGAGGAGTAGAAGAAGAAGAAGAAGTAAGAAAGAAGAAGAAGAAGATGTACACCAGCAAAGACAATGACAAGCTCTTCTTCTT